TGCAAGCAAGCAAAGAGTAATAGCTACTGCCCCAAAATTTTAGAAAGTACAGCTATCGACAAGACAGTGAGGACCAAAGAAACAGTTATAGAGATGTTCATAGGGAAAATAAACGCATCTGTTCAGAGATCTGTTCATCACAAATGCAACAGCTTTTCGGGAGCTGAACAGAAGAAATAAAATTTCTTCTTTAACTTTATATCCAGCTAAAGACAGAATATACAGAGTTACAATCAAATTATGTTCTTCTAAAAGGTCTGCTTATACCCTGGTCCCCAGTATCTATGAATGTGATCTTATTAGGATATATTGTGGCTTTTGCAGATGTAATCAAGGAAAGAAAGCTCCTTCCTGCATTAGCTGTAGAGTTGAAGTGAACACGAATGTTATCTATGAAGAAAGGGAGATGGAGCTGTAATGATAGATCAGTAAAGTTCCAGCTGCCAACATGAAACCTGAATTTGGATGCCTATTTCCATGTAACAGCTGAGTGTGATGTCACCAGCGCATGTCTCCCCAGAACTGGGGTAGGGGACAGGAACAGGTAAATTGCTGGGGTTCCCTGGTCAGTGAGCCTAGAAAAATCACTGTTTCTAGTTCAGTGAGAGACCCTATTCCAAAATAAAAGGTGGAGACTGATCATGGAAAACATCCAATGTTGAGCTCTCATCTCCACGCATACTATTCACATGAACACTCACATGCACGCATGTGCTCTCTCTCTTCTCCCTCCTTGACTATTGCATCTGTTGCCTCCAGCTTACAGAACTGGAGAGAAGAGTTTTTGCAATTTTAAGTCATTAAGTTTGGGGTAGTTTTTTTACAGTGATATAGGAAACTTATGATTTCTCTAGTCACTTTTACCTATGAATGAAATTATTTCCCCAAATAATAGTGCTTAGTGTAAAAATACAATTTTAGTGAGTCTATTTACACCCTACAATTCCTAATACCATTCGGAATGTATACAGTTTTCATGGGACTCAAGAAAACAACTATTGGCATAATGTTTTCTCAACAGTGAGTTCTGAAAAAATTGCATTTCCACATTTTGAAACATAAGCTTTAAGGTTCCCATTGACTTGTTCCCTCTTTTCTCCTTCTTCTGATGTCCAGCCTCTTTGCCTTTCTGGATAGGAATTGAGCATTTTAGCAAGAGTCCTCCCTCTTGATTAGTTTCTTTAGGTGTACAGATTTTAGTAGGTTTATCCTATATGATATGTCTATATGAGTGAGTATATACCATGTGCATCTGGTATACTTTTCTGCTTCTGGGACAGCTCACTCAGGATGATCTTTTCCAGATCCCATCATTTACCTGCAAATTTCATGATTTCCTTGTTTTTTATTGCTGAGTAATATTCCATTGTGTAGATGTACCACAATTTGTGCATCCATTCTTCAGTTGAGGGGCATCTGGGCTGTTTCCAGCTTCTGGCTATTACAAATAAGGCTGCTACAAACATGGTTGAGCAAATGTCCTTATTGTGTACTTGAGAATCTTTTGGATATATGCCTAGGAGTGGTATAGCTGGATCTTGAGGAAGCACTATTCCTAGTTGTCTGAGAAAGGGCCAGATTGCTTTCCAGAGTGGTTGTACAAGTTTACATTCCCTCCAGCAGTGGAGGAGGGGAAGTTCCCCTTTCTCCACAACCTCTCCAGCATGTGTTGTCTCTTGAGTTTTTTATCTTAGCCATTCTGATGGGTGTAAGGTGAAATCTTAAGGTCGTTTTGATTTGCATTTCCCTAACGGCTAATGAGGTTGAGCATTTCTTTAAGTGTTTCTCTGCCATTCGATATTCCTCTTCAGAGAATTCTCTGTTTACCCCATTTTTTAATTGGATTACTTGATTTTTTGCTGTTTAACTCCTTTAGTTCTTTATATATACTGGATATTAGCCTTTTGTCAGATATAGGGTTGGTTAAGATCCTTTCCCAATCTGTAGGCTGTTGTTTTGTTCTGAGGACAGTGTCCTTTGCTTTAGCTCTGCCCTGCAGACTATCAATGCAGATGCTGAGACTTATGGGCAACCTTTGGGCAGAGTGCAGGGAATCTTATGAAAGAAGTGGGAAACAGTAAGATCTGGAGAGGACAGGAACTCCACAAGAAGAGCAACAGAACCAAAAAATCTGAGCACAGGGGTCTTTCCTGAGACTGATACTCCAACTAAGGACTATGCATGGAGATAACCTAAGACCCATGCACAGATGTAGCCCATGGTAGTTCAGTATCCAAGTGGGTTCCATTGTAATAGGAACAGGGACTGTCTCTGACATGAACTGATTGGCCTGCTCTTCAATTTCCTCCCCCTGAGGGGGAAGCAGCATTACCAGGCCACAGAGGAAGACAATGCAGCCACTCCTGATGAGACCTAATTGACTAGGATCAGAAGGAAGGAAAAGAAGACCTCCCCTATCAGTGGACTTGGGGAGGGGCATGCATGCAGAGGGTGGTGGAAGGGAAGGATTGGGATGGGAAGGGGGAGGGAACCACAGGAGGAATACAAAGGGAATAAAGTGTAATTAATAAAGAAAAAATGTAAAAATAAATTAAGAAAAAAGATTCCCAATGAGATATTTCAGTGTGAGCAAATTTATCAGGATAATAGACATATGAGGTAAAATAAATTATTCAAGAGCAGAGCTTATAAGAATAGCTATTGTTTATCAAATCACAGAAGTAGAAAAATTACAACATCTACTGATTAAAATGTGTTAGGCAATTGTTAAATACCTATTACTTACATACCTATCATATTTAATCCTCAAAATTACATTATTATTTGTACTCAAATTTTAAAGCTAAATAAGGTGGGGTTCAAAGAAAGTTAGTACTTTTCACAAGGCCATACACTAATGGGTATTACAGTTGAGGTTAATTGGTCAGTCTCATCTGCTCTATGAAGCTAATAATTTCTATCTAAATACTCTAATTGTCCTTTTACTTTGTAAAAGTTTTCATCACCATAAATTGCAACAAATCCTAAAGTCATGGGAGATGAATGAGATACAACATTGAATTACAGTGTAAGTATCTTCTTTGGCTTATTAATGATGTAGTCACAAATAGAGTGATATTAACCCAGAACAAGGGGGTGGATTCCTAATAGTATTGGGAAAACATGAATTAGAGCCATCTGACACTGATATATTATAGTGGCTAAAGAATACTTAAAACTGAACTAGCGGGGTGTCTCAGCTGGCACAGCTAGGTAAGTAATATCTTAGTTGAAGCCGCAGAGCTGACATGGTGGAAGGAGACAATCAACTCTTGCAGTTTGTCTTTTGACATCCACAAGTGCACCGTGCACACATGTAGCCCACCCTCACACAAGTGAATGTAAACCAAAAGTAATAAAAAGTGCTTGAACCAAGGTATGGCAGAGAGATGTTAAAAAGTTATTTTCAACAGAATTTTGATGGGCTGTTAATGGAGGAACTTAGCCTACAAAAGTATTTATCTGTTAAAAATTAAGTCAAGTTCTACTCTTTTTTAAAAATACTAAGTGGTTGGTTATAGCAAACTAAGAAAAGATATAAAATTCTATAGTAAAAAAAAAATTGAAATGGTGACTTAGCAAGGTATTTAAAGGTTAAGCAAGCGTGTTTTCTTCGAACATCTGGTAGATGGGTACATGTGGCTCTTCTCAAACACAAGGCAGCGTCTCCAGGAGCGCCTAAGCTCAGGTATGTTTTTGTCAGAAGTGTAGTGATCACATACCAGCACAGCTGCTGTCACCGTGTGGCAAGGGCAGTGCGCCTGCCTGGGAGTGGGTGATCAGGATCTCATGTCCCAAAAGTTTCCCAGTTCATCACAAGAATTGATTTTTTTTTTTTTCGTTTTAAAAGGAAACCTCTGAGCTCCATCCTGTTTTTTTTTTTTTTTTTTTTTTTTTTTTTTTTTTTTTTTTTTT